GTACATTTAAGTATATGATATATAGTATATATTAACAATTTCTAAATTGCATTGTAATATAGAATTTTTTACTATTTATAACCTTGTAACACTTAACGTCATGTAATTCAGTCTTCTGACTGCCAGATGATGTTTTTATTAAACAAACTATTCAATTCAATTCAATTCAATTCAAAACACTTATTTACTGAGATCTCGGGAAAGCAGTGTGTTTTGTGGACCCTCGGTCTCAGTAATAAATGATAATTAGCCCTCAGAGTTTTGATCAAGTGGAACCAAACTGTGATTGCAATGCTCAACAAATTCACAACATATGCAAATGACAATCTATCCAACTGCCTCGAGCAACGACAGATTCCATTAATAACAATAGCTGACCCTGTTTTTTGTCATGCAATAAAACCGAATCCCATATCCCCAACACTTGTATCTAAGTTAAATCTGCCCCTCATCGAATTTCCAAAATCGAACAACTATACAGAACAGAAAGATCAACATAATATGTTACAACCCCCTGTTTGGCAAAGCACCCTGTCCCATCCCACCCGTCACAGAGCCAAAGCATTCTATCCCACTCGAGTCGATCCCCGAGTGAGAAGAAAACGTATCGTGAACGAAATCCACCTGAGATCGAAACCCACTACGAACGAATGGAAATGTCTCACCCGTCTCCGAGCCAATCCCCAAGCGGAAACGAAACGTACTGTGAACGAAACCGACCTGAGATTGAAACCTATACCATAAACGAATGGAAAAGATACCTAAGGCTAAGATATGTTCGCCAAACAATAGGGTAGCGATCATTGTCGGACATCCATGTACACCTAACCCAATACCCACCCTAACTATCAGAGAACAGAACAAAATTCCGGTGCAAATGACACCTCGCATAGGCTATCATGTGGGGAGACAAAATTTTATAAATATTCCAACCGAGAAAGTAGTTATAGGGAGACATAATTTAATAAATATCCCAATTCCTGTTCGAATCACAACCCAACCTATCAAAGAATATCGCTTTCCTTCCCCTCATCGGCTAGAGGTGGTTTTAAATCGTAATAAGTCTGCCAAAGCAGCCTATCGTAGTAACCTAATTAATATCCAACCTACACACTGTACTACAAAGCATGCCTTTCCTCGTCACAGGCCAGTTACCTCTACTAGAACACTCCCTAACGTTATGGTTCTTAATGCAAGATCAATCTTTAATAAAGTTGATGAACTGAAAGCACATATTGAAATTTACAAACCTGATATAATTTTCATAACAGAAACGTGGTTGTCTGAAAATATCCCGAATGAAGCAATTCACATTGACGATTTTAACGTTTTCCGGAAAGACAGAATAGTAGTGCGTGGAGGTGGTGTTGCATTTTATATTAAGGACGATTTTCCAGTAAGAATTAGGTTTGACCTTAGTAACAAATTTTTTGAATGCCTATGGGTGACCCTTAGACCCCAATGGCTGCCTAGGAGCTGCCTAGAGCAAGAATCGCCTTGGCTTGTGTTTACCTTCCACCTTCCATGTCACTCAACGACTAGATGCTTTTTACGACTATTTTCAGTCCTGTTATGATACTTTAACTACCGAAAGTCGGGATATAGCTTTTATTATTGCAGGTGATTTCAACCCAACTAGTAATGGTTTTAAATCAAGATTTCTGAAGATCCACTGTAATCTTAAACAAGTAGTTAAAGAAGCAACAAGGAACACTAGTATTCTGGATCTTATTTTCACCAATGTTAATCACTTCTACGAAGTTCCAGAAATTATAGCCCCATTATCTTCTGCAGATCATAATATGGTCATCTGGATGTCTAAAATTCAGCAGCTTCAAAATAATATAACAAAAAAAGTGACAGTAAGGCCAATAAAACCCTCTGCCCTGGAGTCTTTTCACCCACTCTTGACTTCCTATAATTGGCAAAATGTTATTTCCGCAAGCTCTGTTGATGCTGAATTAGAAGAATTCCTCACAGCCACCAGCAATTTGATCAACGATTTCTTCCCTACCAAAACTGTTAAATTTCACCAAAATGATAAATTTTTTATGACAGCGAAACTGAAGAAGATGATTTGTGCGAGAAATTGTGCATATAAGCAAGGTAAAAACTGCTCGTTTTAGATTCCTTAGAAATCGGGTGAAATATGAAATCCGCGTGGCGAAAGAAAGGTATTACAACGATAACATATCCGGAAATTATGATAAAAACGACTCAAAGTGGTGGAAGAAGATCAATAAACTTACGGGGAAAGATAAATCATCTAATATTTTCTTGAGTAATACCATGATGACCTCGGGTTCTTTTGTTCTCGCCGGGTGGTTTAATCACGATATTCCCGGCTTAGCGGGGAGATATCTAATTCTCCCGGCAAA